CCCCCCCCCCCCCCCCCCCCCCCCCCCCCCCCCCCCCCCCCCCCCGCAAGCTCTTCCAATTGGGCCAGCCAGGCGCCCTGAGAACCTGAGCCTTATGACAGCGTGAGTGCCTGGTTCCAGCTCTTCCTGAACGCCGGCTGCCCCTCTATCCTTTCAGTGGTTTGGCTGTTCAAATGTTTACATTCCCTGAGCCTCCACAGCTCCCTCTGCCCCCCAGTTTTTTCCAAAATTCGGCTGCCATCATTTGCCCCCTAGTTTAGGGGGCATTCTCTGTTTTTCCCACTTTATTCCTCCCTTCTGACTACAATCCTTTCACTGGGGAGTCCCTTTCTTCTCCCAGTCTGTGCAATTCAATTGCAGCTGGCTCCATGTTTGGGCACATGACTCCCGTGTAGCCAGTCAGAGCTTCATAACCCCTATGACTCTAGTCATTGGTTCAGGAGTGAACCTCTCTATGCCTCAGTTTCTTTACCTATACAACAAAGATAAAAATAACGCCTATTTCATACTACTGTCATGCTGTGAGGATGCATTTGCACAGCAATGAAAAGACCTTGTGCTTAGCATCTAGTGAGGGCTCAATTTGTGCGATAGTATCATTGTTGTATGGGCGGAACATGTCCCCGCCATGATCCCCTGGAAATGGAGCCCAGGAGTGCTTGAGGGAGGTCGAGGCAGGAGACAGAGTCAAGAGGGAGAAATACAATTGAGGGAGCAGATATAATTTCTGAGGAAAAGGGTGGCCAGTGGGAAATGTAACACCTCACATGACTTACCTTCCAAACCACACTAATCAGTGAGCGAGGCCCCCACTTTAGAGAAGGGACTATGGACAAAGCCTGGCCAGTCAGAGATGGACATACGACCCAAGTCAGTTCAATGAGAGTCAGCCGCTGGACTTTTGCCGGACCTATTGGTGGAGAAAATTCCTTTCTACTAGGTTTGAGCCTGGGGGAGTGGAAGGATGAAACTGACTGAGTCACCAAGTGGCAAGGGCCTTCCTGAGAGCAGGGACAATGCCAAGGAAGGCAAAGCTGAGATAGAGGAAGATTGTGTCCTATGACGTTGTTTGAGCCCCTGGATCCAGCCGTGCCTGAAGCGTCCCATCATTTGTTCTTTCGATCACATGAACCAATGAATTCCTTGTCTTTGCCTAAGCTGGTTTGAGGTGGAATTTCTATCACTTACAACAAAGAGTCCTGATCTTCACCTTTTCTGTTCTCCAAACCTGTCAAACATGTCCTTCCTACATCTCAGCCTTTATAAGATTGTTCCTTCCACTGGGAATGTCCTAGGGACATCCAATATGTACTATTTGGTGAATGAAGCAAACAAACAGAAAATTCTCGGTCCTTATCTGCTCCCTGACAAAGAATCCAGATTCTGAAACACCCACTATCATTCCTAGCACAACGGGCTTTGAGAGCTGTGGAGAAATTCTTTTTTTCTCCCCCCCCCCCCTTTTTTCTTTGGCTACAAAAATATCACATCTCCTGGGCAATCCCTTGGATTTCTGTAAGAGAATAATGTGCTCCTGGCAGCCTGGATGTTGTTAAAACACCCCCTGGCTTGGCACACGCATAGTCTCCGAGGCCCTTCTCTGGCCCGAGGCCCACCGAGGCAGCAGGGAGGAAGGCAGGAGATGTGGGGCGAGCTGAGCCTCGCCAGGAGGGCGGCAGCTCCCGCGGAGGCCTGGCCTCCCTCCCAGCAGCCTTCACCTCCAGCTGCTGTTGGCCTTGGTGGCTTGAGGAGGCCGCCCCTCACCACCGTGCTGCTTACTGACTCAGTGCCTCTCCCGAAGCACCCCTACTCTCCCGGGGGGGGGGGGGGATGGGTTGCTCTCATCTTTGCCTTCGTGGGCCCCAGGCCAGGCTTCCACCCCACTCCACCCCCTACCCCCGCCTCCCTTCCCAACAGTATCCAGCTCTGCTCCGTCAGATAGGCTGAGAGGTAAGGTTGGCGTCAGGGGCTGAGATGCTTAGAAAATAAGTAAGTTTAACCATGGAGAACCAGGCACTAGCATCCCCAACGCCTGGCTGGGGTAACTTAGGCTTCTTACTCTCTCCAGATTGATTTCCCTGCCCTGCCTCACCCCAGTTTCCCTACACCACTCTCCCCCGGGGCATTTCCTTTATAAACGCCTTGAACGTGAATCCTCGCCTCGGTGTCTGCTTCTAAGGAAATCTGATCTCAGACACTAGCATTCACATGTGTTCTTTCCCCCATCCTCCTAAAACCTGACGAGGTAGTTTGAGCCTGATACTGTTTGAGCCCCTGGATCCAGCCGTGCCTGAAGCGTCCCATCATTTGTTCTTTCGATCACATGAACCAATGAATTCCTTGTCTTTGCCTAAGCTGGTTTGAGGTGGAATTTCTATCACTTACAACAAAGAGTCCTGATCTTCACCTTTTCTGTTCTCCAAACCTGTCAAACATGTCCTTCCTACATCTCAGCCTTTATAAGATTGTTCCCTCCACTGGGAATGTCCTAGGGACATCCGATGCGTACTGTTTAGTGAATGAAGCAAACAAACGGAAAATTCTCATCTTTTACAGAGGAGTAAACTTAGGTTCGGAGGGACTAAGCAACTAGTCTACACAGCCAGATAGTGGTACAGTCTGGGTTCAAACCCAGGCCTCTCTGACTCCAGGATTCATCATGGCTGTAAGCTGGCAGGGTAGAGTAGCCACCTTGAGATCCTATCATTCCCCGCTCTTGGGCTGGTCAGAGGGGCCCGTCTGGGTCTGAGGGCACGGGGTTCCCTGGCCATGGCTCTTATCTACATGCTCTCCAGCATCCCAAACAATTCCTGAGCCAGGTTTCCTGCAAGGGGGTGGCCACTGAGTGGGATGGGGGCGAGAGTGGATTTCAGTCCCCAGCGATCCTGAGGCCAGCTGGCCACCAGATGTCGGGGGGAAGGAGGTCCCAAGGGCCGTGGAAGGTGGGCTTGGCCCATGCTGCTGAGGCAAGTGGGGACCTCAGGGTCTTAGCAAGGAAAGGACGCCTGTCAGGAGGCCGTCTCTAGAAGGATGGGGGGGGGGGGTGTCTGCCATGGCAACATTGGGGGTGAGGACAAGTGGAAAACCTGATGACTCCTGAGGCACGGGCTCTGTGGGCTCTGACCATGGTGGGGCCACGTGTCCCGCCTGGGCAGCTGAGCAGATGTGATGCTTTTCACGGAGAATGAGGTAACGCTAAGGCAGGCAAACAATGAGGTTCCACATCCACTGCAGGACCTCCGACGGGATGTCCAGGGGGTAGCTGGAGCTCAGGCGGAGGGGTGCGGACCTTGGCAAATCATGGGTACGCAATAAATGTCTACTCTGACTGCCAAAGAGACGGTAGCCCGAGAGCGGTTGACATGCTCGTGCACAGTATGTGGAGCAAGAGAGAAAAGCGGGGGGAGGTTGATCCACGGGAACATGAATACTCAAGGGGAGGGGCAGGGCAGAGAGCCGTGAAGGCGACAAACACCATGGGAGCCCAGCGGCCCCTGCCCCAACACTTCTGTGCACATTGCCACCTGCCAGCACGCGGACCGCTCTGCTCCAGTGCCTGCCCACCCTCCAACCGTCACCCGCCTGCTGGACTAGGGGGTTGACATCCCCGTCCTCCCCCAGCTGCAACCCCCCAACGGATGCCCGATGTGAGCTGCTAAGTACCCCAAGTGAGTAACACTGGGGGCTGCCATCTCCACGTCTGTGTTTCCCCCCAGGGGAGAGGTGGCGTTACACTAACCACAACACTGAATTGTCTGAGTCAAAAAGTGAAAAAGCTACTCACTTCTCTGT